AAGGTGATATTGCAACTTGCAACAGTGTGGCTGATGGTGAGAACCATTTTCCATTCTTCACTAGTTTTGTCACTTACATTTACTTACTTGTACTCAAGGCCAGTGCAACCTATTTGGTCATCTGCAGCATTACCGCCAACACCTGGGAGCTTGTTAGAAATGCAGGTCCCCAGGCCTGGACTAGACCTACTGAATCAGAACCTTGGGACAGAGGACTCTGGCCCATGAATCTCTGTCTTAACAAGCTCTCTGGGTGATTATTCTGTCCACTAAAGTTTGAGATGCATGTATAGTTTTGAATTATAGCTTTGTTTGGATATATGCACAGGAATGGGATTGCTGGATCATGTGGTAGCTCTATTTTTGTTTGTTTTGAGGAACCTCTATACTGTTTTCCACAGTGGGTGCACCAATTTACATTCCCACCAACAATGTGGAAAGGTTCTCTCTTCTTCACACCCTCTCCACCATTTGTTATTTGTAGTAATAGAATTTTTAACTATAGCTATTTTGACTGGTATAAGGTGTTATCTCACTGTAGTTTTGATTTACATTTCTCTAATAATGAGAGTTGGACTGTGAAGAAAGCTGAGTGCCAAAAAATTGATGGTTTTGAACTGTGGTATTGGAGAAGACTCTTGAGAGTCCCTTAGACTGTGAGGAGATCCAACCAGTTCATCCTAAAGGAGATCAGTCCTGGGTGTTTATTGGAAGGACTGATGCTGAAGCTGAAACTCCAGTACTTTGGCCACCTCATGCGAAGAGTTGCCTCATTGGAAAAACCCTGATGCTAGGAGGGATTGTGGGCAGGAGGAGAAGGGGATGACAGAGGATGAAATGGCTGGATGGCATTACCGACTCGATGAACATGGGTTTGGGTAACCTCTGGGAGTTGGTGATGGACAGGGAGGCCTGGCGTGCTGCGATTCATGGGGTCGCAAAGAGTCGGACACGACTGAGCAACTGAACTGAACTGAACTGAACTGAATAATCAGTGATGTTGAGCATCTTGTCATATGCCTGTTGGCCATCTGTAAGTCTTCTTTGGAGAAATGTCTATTTAAGTCTTCTGCTCATTTTTTGATTGGGTTGTATTTTTTTGTTACTGAGTTGTATGAGCTGTTTGAGCATTTTTGAAATTAAGTCCTTGCCTCCTTTGTTGAATACTAACTGTCCATAGGTGTACGGGTTTATTTCCAGGCTCTCTATTCTGTTCCATTGATCTATATGTCTATTTTTGTGTCTATGTCATGTTGTTTTGATTACTGTGTACTTGTAGTATTATCTGAATTCTGGGAGGGTTATGCCTCCTGTTTTTAAATTTTTCCTCAGGATTGCTTTGGCAATTCTGGGTCTTTTAAAGTCCCATATACATTTTAGGATTATTTGTTCTAGTTCTGTGAAAAAATGCCATGGTAATTTGATAGGAATGCATTAAATCTATAGATTGCTTTGGGTAGTATGATCATTTTAACAATATTAATTTTTCCAGTCTAAGAGCATGGGATATCTTTCCATTTCTTTGAATCATCTTCAATTTCCTTTATTAATATTTTATAGTTCTTAGCATATTTTTCACCTCCTAGGTCAGGTTTATTTCTAAGTGTTTTTTGATGCAATTTTAAAAGGGATTTGTCAAGTAAAGTTTGAGGAGCACAGCTCTGGACAATTCAGAGAGGCACTCAGGGAAGATAAAAGCTCAAAGAAAGCAAGCGTGGTGATGTTTTCTTCCTGCTAAAAGAAAGTTACCCAGAAACCAGATGATCTAGAGTTCAGAATCACAATAACTGCTCCATCTCTGGAGCAGTTTAAGTTTAAGCAGTTTAAGTTGCTGTTACGAAGTTTTTCTCAGCACATTCTACCTGCAGGGTTTGCTCATCATTTGTAGACAAAGCAATGGTGACTCCAAGAAGAACATTTTATATATAAATTAAGTATAACATCTGCCTGTGAATGGCAGGTTCCAATTTAGTAACTAATGACTAAAGATTCATGGATCGTAGAACTGGGCTCTGGCAAGAGCAAGCCCTTCCCTGGCACAGAGCAGAGAGGCCTTGGGAAGCCTAGGCTAACATAGGTGAATCAGCAGTAACTTTGCTTTCTGAATGATATTAACCAGGGGAAAATTGGGGGAGAAAAAAACCAACCAAACAAAAGACTAAAAATAGTATGTTTTCACATTGTGGCAATATAACAAAATTATTCCACTAGTTTAAGCCAAAAAGCTTGAGTATATAACAAGACTGAGATCAATAAAATCATTATTTGCTGAGTTTGATCAGTTTAAAATTTGGGCAACCTAATTATCTCCCCTGTAGCTCCTTTATTTCTTAACTAGCAGTAGTTTTTAAAATAACAATATAATATTTTTCTTGTTCTCTTTCTTATGAAGACAGGGACATTGATGATGCTCTTTTCAATACTTTTATTTGATCTATTTACCAGGAAAGAAATATCCTATTCTTGTTAGGAAAATATTTTATATTTTCCATTTTTAGTAGATGTCATAAGAGCTTTTGATTAAATCCAGATAATTAATCATTATTTTCATTAATTACCCAAAGATGTGCATATATTGTACTTTTCTTTCTTGACAACAGAGGGTTTCGTTGGCAAACTTGATTAGTTTTGTATCCAAATTAAGTTAAGCATAAAAATAAATGCTAATTTATTTGTTTCCAGCAAGATGAATAAAATTAAGAATGAACAATACTATAAATAGCACTAGAAAAAGCGTATTATTTTAAGAGAAAACTTCAGCTTTGACAAAACAAGAAAAAATGACTTAGCAACTGTTAAGATAATTTGAAAGTTTTCTCAATTTATATTGCCAGTGTGCAAATTAGGAGCAATCTAGTGGAAGAAATTAGAAAACCTATGCTCCTAATTATAAAAGGAATATATACTGACCATAAAGAAACAACTGCTCTGAGTTGAAAAGCCAATATAGTGTATAAATCAAGTCCACTGTGGAAAACTAAGTTATTTATTATCCCTGCCTTTTTGAAAAAAAATAATCTGGAGATGACATTGATGTGCATGGAAAAGTTAAAGGATAAATATTAAAAGAAACCCACTTTTATTTTGATAAAATTTCTATACAGAAACAGAAGTATTGTTGAAATTAATAGTCACATGTTAATGGACAATGTGATTTGTATGAAGGTGAAAGATCAGGATATATTTTCAAAAATTTGGTAAATATGATTATCTTTTTACCCCCATACAAGCATTAATTTGTGAATTGTTTAGCTAACTCAATAATTCATTTTAATTAAAAAATGTTATTTACATACTTGGAGATGATTTAAATCATAGTTTTGAATAGATAAAAATGAAAGTATCAAGGTTAATGTCAAAATATATATTTATATAATCTAAAAAGTGTTGACAGTTTTATATAATTTTTTAATCTCCCTGAAATCATGAAAGCCAGCAAATAAACCTAGCAAACAAGGTATAGTATCTTTTTTTGTAAATAGATATGTAAAATGTTTTCCAGACAGCAGGTGGCAATCTTTATAAATCTGGTGCAAGCAGCACCATCTTATATCTGTATTTGCACATGAAAGTCAGTGTTACAGGACCGGTTAAGAACCTTGGCATGCTCAGATGAGTTTAAATAACTTCAAATATTAAAAAGGCTCTTATTTAATTATGCTTACTGTTCCAATGAAATTTCTCCCTGGGCAAAATAAATGCCTTTGTTTAATGCTTCTTAATTTTTATGAAGCAGAGGAGAAATTTCACAGGGCTAATTGGTGTAGGTATCCTCAACAGAACCCTCCATGCTGGTTACTTCTTATCATTCAGGATTCATATGGCTTTAAGAATGAACAAAACTAATTTTAGATTTTTTTAAAGCCCTAAAAAGAACACAACTGACTTATTGTTGTCTAGTTTCTGTTGCTATTATCACTGAACCATGAAAAGTCTTTAGAATTCTAAATATGGAGATATACAAAGTTTTGATCCCAGATAACTCTTAGAATTCATTGAGTTTTTCCTAAATTGAAGTAGTCATGTCAGATAAGAGACAGAAATTCATAGTTGTCTGAACTGAAAAGGAATCTCAAACAGGTGCAGTCATCACACCCAGCAGGACCAGACAGCCAGAGTTGGCGAGCTTGCCCACAAGAGTTAACAGTGGCAACATCAACTCTAACTGGGTCTTCGAATCTCTTAAATTCAGAGTTTTATACACAGCAATGAAATTTTAAAACTCCATGCTATTAGCTTTTCTAGCACGTTTACAAAATTTTGCCAATGATATCATTCTAAAATCCTAATTTTCACTTTTTATTGAGTCTTGAGTGTTAACAGCATTTTATGAAATGTGCACACTCTTAGGAAGGAGTCTTTGTTCTACATGAGCTTTCAGATATATGTGATTTATAATATGGTCAATTTCTGACCTTTCCTGTATGCTATGCTTATGTGTAAAATCCTTTAATTTAGCAATACTTCCAGACTTTCTCTATGAATTAAGACCTGACACTGTCATTTTAAAGTGAGTTCCTCATAGGGGTTCCCTTTTGCAGTGGGAATGGGGCAGGCAAACCGAGGTGTCTGAGGTCACACATCAGGATGGAATAACAGTGGAATTTACAAGTTTCTGAGTTTCAGCCTTATATTTGTATTTTCTCATGCATCTATATTCTACTAAAATAATCTAAGGCAACTTGTTCTCTCAGTAAACAAATATTTAATTAAGATAGTTACAAAAATGATACCCCAAACTATTAGTAACTTCAAACATGTCTACCCATGTTATTGTTCAATATGCCTACTCATTTTGCAGTAAACAGTTAAGAAACAAAGAAAATGGTCTATGACACAGAAACAGAGGAAACCTCATACATTAAGGAAAGAAGTGAATCGCCACTTACCAACAGCAATACTTAAACTGAGGAAACATTACCTTCAACCAACGGCAATGTCTTTCATCTTTTTTTTTGAGGGACCAGAGTATCTCCCGGGGACACTCTAGGTGCACTCACCAGGACAGCGCTGCTCACTGCATCTCCGCACTTCCTCCCCTGTCCCTTCACAGGGCTGCCCGGTCACGGCTACGCCCTGGCAGGTCCGCATCCTTCTCTCCCAGCCTCCATCACAGGACCTGGAGCAGCCACTCCAATGACCCCATGGATTCCACTGCCCATTGGCTGAAAGAAACATGCCACCACGGTCAATGGCAGTAACACAGGACTCACCGCTTTAGGTATTCTGAAATGTGAGGACCACGACTGTTCAGTTTTTATTAATCTACCACTGCAAATATAGTATACGCAAATATTGACTTTCTGACCAGATTTAGAGCACTGTGATGAACAAAAACGTCTATAGGCTTGTCAGGATCTACAAATGGACACAACTGAAAAAGAGTACAAGTTCAGCTCTAGACTTCATCGATTTAATCAATATTTAATATAATATAATTAATTTGATCTAATTTAAGAAGCTGCTGAATTTTGCTGCCTTCTTAATGCAACATAGAGTAGAATGAGCCTTGGTAGAATTGGTTTCATTTATACAAATGTATAACGATCGGTTTATCCCATGACTGTCGTGCATGGCTCTGTCACAGAGCCTAATGGCAGGCATCCTGTAAATGCAACCCTCAGGCCTCACCTGTGCACTCCGGGTTGTAACACTCTCTGCTCTCTGCCCAGGGCCCCCTGCACTCCGAGCCCCCATGTGCGGCAGCAGTGCACAGTCGGCTCCTCTGCTGGGTCCCATTCGAGCAGGTCACGGAGCACTGGCTCCAGGAGCTCCACTCCTGCCACTGTCCGTCGACTGCAAGGCAGAAGCAGAGATGGGATGAGGTAGTTTCCAGGAGAGGAGGCTATATACAATGTAGACGCAGGTCTTTACTGAACTCTACAGATACTGCGCTTGTGACACATTACAGTTCTTTAGCGACCTTGTGTATGGCAAGTCTATCAGTGCTATTTTTCCAACAACATTTGCTTCCTGTGTCATATTTCAGTAACTCTGACAATAATTCAGACATTTTATGATTATTATATTTGTTATGGTGGTCTATGATCAGTGATCTTTGATGTGAATGTTGTCATTGCCTTGGGGCACCAGGCACATACCAGACGGGGAACTCAATAGATAAGTGTTTTGTGTGTGTTCTGACTGCTACACCTGGCAGCTGATCCCTCATCTCTCTCCCTTTCTTTGGGCCTCCTTATTCCCTGAGACCCAACAATAATGAAATCAGGTCAACCTGTAACCCTGCAAAGGCCTCTAAGCATTCAAGTGAAAGGAAGAGTCACACATTTCTCACTTGAAATCAAAACCCAGGAATTAATAAGCTTAGTGAGGAAGGCGTGTTGAAAGATGACACAGGCCAAAAGTCAGACCTCATGACAGTCAGCCAAGTTGTGGATCTAAAGGAAACTCTTGAAGGAAATTAAATGTGCTACTCTTATGAACACTGGAATGAACAAAGCCTTCCTGCTCACACAGAGAAAGTTTGACCGGTCTGGAGAGAAGATCCAACCAACCACACCATTCCCATAAGCAGAAGTCTCATCCAGACATAACAGGGCCCTGAAGTGAAGTTGCCCAGTCGTGTCTGACTCTTTGTGATCCCATGGACTGTGGCCTACCAGGCTCCTCCATCCATGGAATTTTCCAGGCGAGAGTACTGGAGTGGGTTGCCTTTTCCTTCTCCAGGGGATCTTCCTGACCCAGGGATTAAACCCGGGTCTCCCACATTGTAGGCCGACACTTTTCCCTCTGAGCCACCAGGGAAGCCCGAACTATCTTCCATTCTATGAGGGCTGAGAGAGGTGAGGAAGCTGCAGATGAAAAGGCTGAAGCTGGCAGAGACAGGTTCATGAAGCTGAAAAGAAGCTGTCTCCATAACATCAAAGTGCAAGGTGAAGCAACAAATGCTGATGCAGAAGCTGAGGCAATTTATCCAGAATCTGTGGCCAAGATAACTCATGAGGGTGGCTACCCTAAACAACAGATTTTCACTGTATATAAGCAGCCTTCGACTGGAAGAAGATGCCATCTAAGACTTTCATATTTGGAGAGGAGAAGTAAATGCCTGGATTCGACAGGCTGACACTCTTGTTAGCGGCTAATGTAGCTTTTAATTTGAAGCCAATCCTCATTCACCATTCTGAAAATCCTAGGGCCCTTAAAGTATGCTAAATCTCCTCTATTTCTTCTATTAATGGAACAACAAAGCCTGAATGACAGGACATCTGTTTACAACATGGTTTACTGAATATTTTAAGCCCACTGTTGACCTACTGCTCAGAAAAAAAGATTTTTTTTTTTCCAAAACGTTAATGCTTATTGACAATGCGCTTGGTCACCCAAGAACTCTGATGTGGACAATGAGACTAATGTTGCTTTTTCATGCCTGCTAACATAATGTCCATTCTTATGGATGGAGATCAAAGAGATATTTTGACCTTTAAGTCCTATTATTTAAGAAACACATTTTATAAGCCTGTAGGCACCAGATATAGTGATTCCTCTGATGAATCTGGGCACTGAAGAGGAAACCTTCTGGAAAGAATTCACCATCCTAGATGCCATTAAGACCATTCATGATTCATGGGAAGTGCTCCAAATAACAACACTAACAGAAGTTTGGAGGAAAATGATTGCAACCTTCATTGACTTGAAGGGGTTCAAGACTTAAGTGGAGGAAGTAACTGCAGATGTGGAAACAGCAAGAGAATTAGAATTATATGGGGAGCGTTAAGATGTGACTGAATTACTGCAATTTGATAATAAAACTTGAAGGGTTGAGGAATTGCTTGTTATAGATAAGTAGATAAAGTTTCTTGAAGTGGAATCTGCTCCTGGTGAAGATACTGTGAAGATTGTTGAATGACAACAAAGGATTTAAAATATGACATAAACATAGCTGATAGAGCAGAACAGAAGTCTGAGAGGACTGACGTCAATCTTGAAAGTAGTTCTATTACAGGCAAAATGCTATCAAACAGGATTACATGCTACAGAGAAATATTTCATGAAATGAAGAATCAGCCAATGTGGGGAACTTTTCTGTCTCATTTTAAGAAATCGCCACTTCCATCTGAGCCCTCAGCAACAACCACCTTGACCAATCAGTAGCCACCAACATGTGGGCAAGAGCCTCTACCAGCAAAAAGATTACAATTTCCTGAAGGCTCAGATGATGGTTAGCATTTTTTAGCAATAAAGTATTTTAAACTTAAGGACTTACATTGTTTTTAAGACATAATGTTATTATTGCACAGTTAAGAGACTACAATATAATGTAAACATAATTTTTATGTGCACTGGGGAACCAAAAAATTGGTATGACTTACTTTATTGTGATATTCCCTTTATTGAGGTGATCTGGAACTGAACCTGTGATATTTCTGAGGTGTGCCTGTACAAGGTGAAACCAACCTTGAAGATGAATGCCAACCAAGAGACTCTAAATGAATGCAATTAGATGTTATTACCCTCCAAACAACTATTACCTCATTCTTCATTTCTATTTACTTTTATGTGTCTATTATTTCTTTTTATTGATTTATTTCTTCAAATATATTTACTGACCACTTAAAAAAACAAGACCATGATTTTGGAGATGGGTACAGGTAGCAATGAATATGATAAATAATAATTGTAGAACTCATATTTTAGAAAAGGACTCCCTAGAACAAGTTACAAATTTAGTTACATGCCAAATAAATTAATCCTATAGCATTGCTGCAAAGGATGATTTCAAGACAGAGTAAGACAAGAGTTTGCAGGGCCTGGGGAGTCTTCCCTGACAAAGCAAGCTTTCAAGGACACTTGAAGGATAATAGGAAGTCCCCAGGAAAGCGCTTGTTCCATGAAGATACACAGAGGTGCTGGGCAGGACCGAATGGGGGGCATTGTGAGCATCACCCAGACAGCCAGGTGAATAACTGCCAGGGAGGTCAGGGAAGAGACAGGGGCCAGATTTCAAACTTTTTGTCAGCTGTGTTATGGATTTTATCTCTGCTCCGATTGTTGAGCAGCTATTGGAGAATTTCAAGGGGACTCTGATCGTATCTGGCGCAAGGCAGGGAAAGAGCGGCAGGAGAGGCCCAGGAGGTTCTGAGCTGGAGGCGGGAAGGTGCCCGGGTGGCATCCTGGGGAGATCAGGGATGCGAGGGAAGGGCCCTGAGTGGAGAGAGGACCAAGGGGACGCCCACGTGTCCAGGCTGGAATGGAATGCAGATGGTTGAGCCTTTCTTTGGAAGTTCAAATTGAGATGCATTTATTTATTCACTAATTCAAATGACTATTGAGAATCTTTCAGTCATCAGACACTGTGATAAGTGTTACAAGAAATACAAGAATTTGAATTCCAACCTCAAAAATCTTTTATAACTCATCAAAAGAATTACTGTATGCACACAAATAAGTAAATACACAATGAAAAGCAATACCAATTTAACACAGCAATAAAAACCTTCAGAAAACTCACTAGTATTGGAAGATTTGGATAGATTAGACAAAGCAGAAGCATTCATGAAGGTATAATCCCATAGGCCATAAATGACAAGTGAGAAAAGGGATCAGGCAAAATATTTACCTGAAGTCATTAACTAGCATGTAAGTGTTAAAAATGCAGGATATTACTGTCCACTTTTTCCCAATGTCATTCAATTGCTTTTCGTCTATTTTAATAAATCCAAAGTTATAAACTAATGCTTCTGTGAAGACCCACTCTGACAGAATAGGATTGAGTACTTTGAATCTAATTTCAGATTGTGCAGGGAGCTATTAAAAGGAAAGTTATTTAATATGTATCTAGTGGTACTGTGTGGTGAAAAAAAGTCATAAAAGGCCAATTAAATCATACCATTCATGTCACTTAGCATCTCACTTTTTAGCACCTGACAGTCTTATTGACTATATAATCCATTTGCCAGACAAAAAAGAAAAGTCTAGCGAATCCATTTCCTCTAGATGTTGGCTTTGAAGATAAGTGTGTTTTCCATTTCAGAATTTTGCTTTTCTAAGATAACACTTATTAAGTTTGCATTCAAAGGAGAAAGGTTTTTAAAAAAAAATAAGATTCATACCTTCACTGTATGTACCATCTGTTTGGCCAAAAAATGTACAGGTATTCAAGCTACTGAGAACATTCAGAAAGCAACAGAGAAACAAAGATGAATTAAGTGATACCAGTCAGTTCAGTGCTAAGTGACTAGGATAAAAGAATAGAATATCTGATATTCTTAAGAATTCTGCTTTAAAGTAAAAAATTTAGTAGTTTTTAGGAATGTAACAGTTGTACACTCACTACAAAGAAGAGAGGGTGAGTGTCTACAGCTAGGAAGATGTACATTTAGGAATGAGTGAGATAGAGAAGGGCTCAGAGTAGATAATTCAGCAGGAGGCTATAGTATGGGTGAGGAGAGAAAATATTTTGTTGAAGACATATTAGACATATTAGAAAAACAGATTATTTGTGAAGTGTTTTGCTCAGATTTTTTTTGCAAGAAGACCTTGCATAATCATTGTTAACATTTTTTTAAACATTTTCAATCTATACTTTTGTAATATTAGTTCAGTCTTTCTGTCAAAGTACACATTTTATGTTGTGGCTAAAGTTCAAGAACGAGTTAAATTAGACATTTGAGGGAGTTTTGAACTTTGACACCACTATAAACATCAGCAAAATATACACTTTATATAGGAAGTTTTGTTTAGAAATCAGTTACAGAAAATAAATAATAATGAAAATGTATCAAGTGTAAGTTTTTGATGTGTAATTTTACACTGGGAACTAGAAGTCTCTTTTTGTG